TGAGAACTTGACCAAGTGACATGTGTTCACCACCCGCCCCGACAGGTTCTGATTCAGGGGGGCTGCTGTGGACCCAGGGGTCACATTCTTAAGTGCCCTCCTTGGTTCTGATTCTGACAACCCACCCAGTGCTTCTGAGGACAGCTGGACTAGATAGGCAGTCAGCAGCGAGGACCCTGAGTCCGGGGATGGGTGAGGTCCCAGCTAGCGGGAGGGGTTGGGGGTCACCGGCATCTCCGGTGTTTAGAACCAACAGCCTAGAGGAGGGGACCAGGCAGAGGGGCTGGTCGTAGGTTAAGCCCTGGGCAGCCAAGCAGCTGGAGCCTGGGGAGGCAAAAGGGGACAGCAAAGGAGGCTGAGGGCTCCGAGGCTGTCCCCGCAGCTGGCAATGCAGCCCAAGGCAGGGCCGGCTCAAGCAAGAGGAGGCTGAGGGCTGGCCAGGCCCACAGGCAGCATCCGGCTCTGGTGGGTCCTCACGTGGTTTTTGGCGTCGCCCACATTTGGGACCGTCCCTGAGGCTCACTGTAAGCTCCTGTGTGGGCTCTGGGACCCCATTTTCCTTTTCTGATGTTTACAAGCCTTCCAACACACTGGTCTTTCATTTTGGTAGGGACTGACGACAGACTCTAAAGACACCCTTTGCCCACCTCTAGAGTCTTAGCATTTCTTCCATTGACAGGATTTCCCCCCAGCGCCCCGTAGCCACCCTGCGTCTCCCACACCAGGATTCACTGGCCCAGGACGTGGAAGGATAGACTCTTCTGAAGCGGCTCCACATTTCATTGTCTCCTCACCTAGCTGAGACCTCAAAACTTCCAGAACATTCTACTTGTTTCACCTAGTTTAATTTTAAAGATCTTGCACTTCGAATTCCAGGTGGCAGACTGCCAGTTTGGAGGGCAAGTTGACAGTCTTGACTAAAATGGAATGTGTGCAAAAGGTAAGATGAGCATGTTACACCCCCTTCTCCCCATCATAAGCAATGACCAAAAAGACCAATCGTTTAAAACAAAACAAAACAAAAACAGAATGGAAAACAAGAAGGTGCCAGCAGCTCAGGAAATGGTGGAAGCCAAGAAACAGAGGGTGACCCAAAGCCCCAGGCAGGCTGGACTGGACGTTTCCATATCGAACCCAGCACGCAACAGACAGATGACACAGTGCTTCTCGGACCCACGAGCAATTCAGAGTGGCCGCGCCTCCGCCAGGGCAGGCCCCACCTGCTCCAGGGCAAAGAATGCCAGGGGCTTCCTTCCTTCCCTGCACCTGCTCAGCAGCCCTGGTTTTCTCATCTGTCCAATGGAGCTAACAGTAACACCTTTTGGGTCTGTGAGGATTAAATGAGCCTGGGGCGGGCGTTGGGGGAGGTGGTGAGTGTGTGTGTGTGTGTGTGTGTGTGTGTGTGTGTGTGTGAGAGAGAGAGAGAGAGAGAGAGAGAGAGAGAGACGCCAGCCGTTCTGATGATAACATTCTCTGGGACTACACCAGTGGCCCTTTCTGCCTGCATTTTTATTACAACATAGTCCTAACACTGCATTTCACCGTCAGGCGCCTCCGTTCCACTCCACTCCTGGGCATTCCTCCCGGCTGATTCTCCTGTCTTATCTGGGTCCCCTTTGGAAATGTGGGCTCCTCAGAGTATCTGGAGTCACCTCTAGAGGCCTGGTCCTTTGGGAGTGGGCAGGGCCCTGGGGAACCCTGCTGGCCTCCGGAAGCTGTTGGGAAGATACCCAGAGAAGCCTGACAGGCAGCAGCGCTGGGTACAGGGCGACAGGCCCGAGCCAGGAGGCCCTACCATGGGACCACAAGTGCCCATCCCAACCGATGACACTGCAGATGTGACCGAGGGCCAAGGGCACAGGTCAGATGCCCTGAGGTGGGCAGGGGCAGCTCAGGAGCCTGCAGGGGTTGGGGGGACAGAACGCAAGAGGGAAGTGGCAGCCCAGCCACTCCTGACAGCTGGGCCAGTGGGAGCGAGGCACAGATGTGGTGAGACGTCTGCCGTATTTGTGCCGTTCCCGGTGATGCCCTGACGACCGCCTGTCACCACGGCCCTCCTGGGGCAGCAGATCACTAAGAGACAAGGACATAAGAAGGAGGGGGCTGCTGCTCCTGGCAAACCCGAGCTTCCCCTCACAGCTGCTGGAGGCCAGAGGTGTGCCCCAGGGCCCCGCCTGGAGGGAGGTGCCCAGGAGCCTATGAAAAGCACCAAACACCCACAGAAGACAATGACACCACGTGGGGCCAAGCCTGATGTCCTCCGTCACACACCACCGCCCAGCTTCCATGGGCTCTGCAAATTTAAGGGGAAAAAAATGGGAAGCCATTTCTGAGAAAATCCACCCAGGACTCGCTCCATCTGCACACCGGGGCGCTCCAGTTGGAGAACGAGTGTCGCAAGCTTCCAGATTCAGGCTTTCGTGCCTTTGTGCGGCAGGGCAGCTGCGAGGCTGCATTAGCGTGTGGCTTTGATCCGGCTGCACCCTGGAACTGCCTGCAGAGCTTTGTAAGAACCCACCCCTGACCGGCCACCCCTGAGACTGACTTGGTCTTGGTCTGGGGTGGATCCGGACACGGAAATCTTTAAAAACTCCGCAGGTGATTCTAAAGGCAGTCATGGCCGAGAGCCACCAGGCAAGGGTCTGAGATTGTGGAACCTTCCACATTCCCCAGCTGGGGAACGAGAGGCCGGGGGCCCCGTTAGAGCTCTCCCAGCCTGGGAGAGGCTGAGCTGGCCCAGAACCGCATCCTGACTCCAAGCCCGGGGCTCCCTTCCCTGCTGCCAGAGCTGACCAAGTGGAGAGGGAGCCGCGGAGCCTGGAAAAGGCAGGTCTTCCTTTGAGGGCCTCATGGAAGGTGCCAGAACCCTCCCTCCTCCTGGCATCCATTGCCCTATCTGCACTTCCTGCCTTGAGTCCACCAGGACTGCTGATGTCACACACTTTGTCCCTGCTCATGGCAGGCCCCCCAGGAGGGCCTTCTCCCCGATCCGGTCCCCACACAGCTCTCTAGTCCCATCCTCACCTGGCACAGCCACCCGGGAGGCCCAGCAACACCCTCTGGAACCTGGCTGACTGCGCCCACTCTCCACCCATGACCGCCGTGGGGCCGAGAGCTCCCTGCAAGTCCTCTTGACATCGCAGAACCACCCTGCAGGACTTCGTGGCCTAAAACAACATTTGTTTTGCTGAGGAACCTGTAGTTTGGCCAGGGCTTGGCAGGGGCGGCTCCTATCTGCTCCGCTTGGCACCACCAGGTCAGCCCAAAGGTTGGGGTGGGTCATCTGGAGCCTTGCTCACTGGCCACGGGTACGGCTGGTGCACGGCTGGGCACCTGGGCACCACTGCCTCCGTCTGGTTTCGCCACATGGCCTCTTCAGCATGGAGGCTTCAAAGGAGCAATATTTTTTTTCTTTAATTGAGGTGAAATTCACAGAACGTAAAATTCACCATTTAAAATGAACAATTCGGTGGCATTTGGCACATCATGGTGTTGTGCAACCACCACTTCCAGAACATTCTCATCACCACGTTCCTCACCCCAGAAGGGAACCCCACACCCATTGGGCAGTTGCTCTTAACCTCTCCTCCGCCAGCTCCTGGTGCCAGCCCACCTGCTGTCTGTCCCTGTGGCGCTGGCCACCCTGCTGCTGAACGCACGTTCGCCTTGGCGGCTGGCTCCTTTCCCTTTGCACAACGCTTCCGAGGTTCCCGGGCTGCCGCTCAGGTCAGCACTTTCCTTCGTTCACGGCTGAACTGCAGGACTGCGCCAGGCTTTGTGGATCCCTCCACCCCCGTGACGGACGCTTGCGTCGTTTCTACTTTGGACTGTCGTGAACGGGGCTGCCTGCAACCTGGGGGCGTGTGTGCGTCCCACTCTCAGCTCTCTCGAGTGTGTGCCGAGCAGTGGCATTGCTGGGTCCCGTGGTAACTCCCTGTTGGATTTTTTGACAAGCTGGCAGAGGGTCTACCACGGCGGCCGCACCGTTTCACATTCCCGCCAGCGACACACAAGCGTCCCAGCCTCTCCACATCCTCGCTGTCACTTTCCGCTCTTTGGTTATCACCAACCTACTCATGTGAATGGCCAGATTTCTTGCCCGTCAGCCCATGTTCCCAAGGCTCATGTCGCCTGAGAGCGCCAGGTGGGCCTTCTCAAGCCACTTTCAGATGTGGCCTCATGGCCAGGAAGGTCACCTCCACCACATGTGCTCCTGCCCATGTCCAAGGGGAGAAGCTCCGCTTTTCCACAAGAGGAGCGCCAGAGAATTGAGGGGAAAAACGTTTAACAATCACGACATCTCCACATTTCTCATTCGCTCTCTCAGACCAGTGCCACTCAACGTGTCATCTCAGGACAAGATAAGGAGCTTATACCAGAAGAGACATCAGCACCTGCCCCTGCGCCAGGACAGTCTTGTCAGCTGACCCAGCTGCGCTGCCTCTCAGTCAGGGTCCTGGGACACAGCGGAAGACCTGTGCCCCGCGGGGGTGGCGCTCTGAGCCTCCCCCAGGTTACACAGGGCCGGAAGGTTATACAGTTTGGGAGCCCCCCTTTAAGAAAAAGAGTAAAAATTCTGACTCCCAAATTAGGTACAAAATGGGAAAAGAATTCACAACAAATTACACGTTTTAAAGTCGACAAATCCCTAGATGTCTGCAGTTCACCCTCACTGGTGGTGACACATCTGTCACACTTTGTTCCTACATTGCCTGGCTGTGTCCTCTTTCATCAACCCTTCCCGTGATAATGATCTTGTAGTATCATGTAGGAATAGAAAAGTCCCTCAATCTTTCCTCGAGTGTGGTTGATCTCTGTTTTGAATGATTGCTACTTTAGAAAAGTCTCTTTCATCTTTACAACTCTTATTGGCACAGTCATGGAAATGTTAGAACTGTAGTCAAATATGGGGGAACTGTTCTCAAGTTTCTTTCATGTCTGAGCTGTAAGATTCTAGAACACGCCCAGCGTTCCTAAACTCGTCTTTAATGCTCTGACAGGAGTGTGGTGCGCTTCTGACTGTGCAGCATCGTCGAGCGTGTTCCTGACAAGAGCGAACGTCTGTATCGAGCAGGTACTGATGAGAATCAAGTCTTCCTGGTTTACGTTCACACACCTGCTGGCGGGAAGAATTTTCCACAGACTTCTGGCTCCAACATATCAAGCCTCATCTCTCCTCCACAATCTGTACTCCCTGTTCCAGGTCCCGAAGGACACGTTCCTAACACAATACAACCGTGGCCTTGCTCCTTCTGGTTACGACACCAGGTGTCAGGCAGTGGACAAGAAGCATGTTCTTGAAGCCAGCCCTACCCCAGGATGACTGGCAATGACCTACTAAATGCAGAAGTGACTGTGAACCGCACAAGTGTATCCCACTAAACCTCAAACGAATCGTGTCCCTAACTCTGCTTACTCTTAGCCAGATCCCAAAAGTATCATGTGGCCTCGACATCACCCAACAGAAGAGGAAGTATGAAGGAAGGGAAGTTAGAATGGAAGGAGGGAACAGTTTTAACCAACTGCAGTTCAAGTCTCTCACTTCTGCAAATTTTATAAAATCTTGGGAGCATGCAAACACACTGCCGAGGCCCAATCGCGAGTGAGGGGCCTCAAGCTAAGGCTTTGTCTCCCGGTAAATCCACGCCAGTGCCCCACCAAACTGTTGCTACCCCCTCACCCAACCTCACTCATTCCTTGCGACCCTGCTCCGTATGTCCCTGAGAACACACAGCAGAAGGATCCCACTCCCGCTTGCTGGCCCTGTGCCCACACCTGCCATCCTGTGCTCTACGCCCCATCGTGGCATCGATCCCAAATTTCCCCCTCGCTACGGGATCATTCCAACAGCATCAAAACATGCAGCGACTTCTCCTTATTCAAAAATAAACTCCCTCGCCCCCACATCCACTCTCCTGCCCGTTTGCTTCCATTGTAGCAAAACTGCTTAAAGAAGAGGTCCAGCTGGGCGGCCTTCCCAGTCTCCCTCCCCAGGAATCGGTCCCCAGCGCCGGGACGGTTGGGGCCTGGGTAGCAGCTCACGGAAGTGGCCACTCCCTGCTCCTCGAAGTGCTCCTTTCCCCGCCTGGCTTCTGGGACTTCCGTCTTTCTGTCTCTTCCTGCTTTGCTGGCAGCTCCTTCTCGGTCTCCTCTGCAGGTTCTTCCAGCTCCCTGGATGGCATCCCCAGGCACAGCCTCCATCTGTTTCTTCTACATTTACACTCTCTTCTTTGGTGTCCTTGGCCCAGCTTGTGGCTTTAAATACTAGCTGTATACAGGTGACTCGAAACTCTGTATCTCATTTGTACACCGACATCCACAGCAGCCTCATTCACAGTAACCACCATACGGAAGCAGTCCCAGTGCCCACTGACAGAGGGCCGGACAAGCACGTGTGTTCCATCATACGGGGCAGGAGCGTCCGCCTTAAGACAGACACGGACACATCTACCACGTGGATGAGCCCAGAGGACATCGTGTTGGGTGAAATCAGCCAGACACAAACAGACGAGTACTATGTGATTCCCCTTCCAGTTCTGGAGATGGACACGGGCGATAGTTGCACCACACTATGAGACTGAATAATACTAAACTGTACACTTAAAGATGGTTCAGATGGCAAACTGCATGTTCTGTATGTTTTACTACCATAAAAATTATTGGGGAAAAAATGCCCATCTCCAGCCAGGACCTCTCCACTGAGCCCTGGAACTGTATCCAGGCACCACCCCCAACCCCCGGCCCCGCCACACACACACACACACACACTCTCACACACACACACACACTTCTAGCTGGGTGTCTTGTCTACACCTCAGCAGTCTGCTCTCATCCCACCCCCTTCACACGCCTGCCCGTCATTCATTAACGGCATATCTGTCTTTCCAGTGGCTCACACTCCAAACTAGAAACTGCCCACAGTTCCTCTCTTCTCTCACCCACACCCAGCCTGTCAGTGACTCCTGCTATCTCCACCCTCAAAAATCAGTCCAGGATGCGGCTCTTCTCGCCACCTCCCTGCACTGAACCTTCCTGCTGGTCTCTCGGACCAGCCAGCCGGTCCTCTGGTCTGCATCCTCCCTCGCTCCCTGCAGGCTGTTCCTGGCACAGTGGCAGCCTGACTGAACCCCCAGGCGGCAGGCAGGGCCCTCCATGCCCATCACAGAGAAAGGCCCTCAGAGCCTATGCTTCTCTCCCTGCTCCCTTCCTGCTGCGTACCGTGTATGCCTGCCACCCCCCTAATATTCTTTGCACTGCCCTTATTTTGTGCTCTCTGGCTGTAGGCTGTAGTTTGGGTCACCACCATATCCCCAGTGCCTGGGACGCAGCCTGGCATATAGCAGGTGTTGAATGAAGGTCACCCTAGCCAGTGGGCTGTGGGCTGGAAGATGCCCCTAATGGGGCTCCCACAGTGCAGATCCAGAGCTTTACCTCGGGGTCTATGTCTTGGTCCCCACCCCACCCTCAAACTTGGGGACCTTGTCACACAGAGCGGATCCCTCTCCTCCTAGTTTGGGACTCCCTCCTCTTCAGCTCCTCCTGGTACTTGGTGGGCGTGGGCCTGAGGACTCCAGAGACACTCCCTGTCAGCGAGTTCTCCCATCGAACCCTGTGACGTGTCCCCCAGGCCCCTTCAGCTACACTCTTCACTGCAAGGATTGGTGGGGCTGCCTGGAAGAGGCGGCCAGGAGGGGAGCCCTAGGTGTGGGGTCCTTCCAGGTCAAAAACTCAAAAGGCCTTTTATTAGGTCCCGGGTCTGGGGGGCTCTCATTTGCCAACAATTCGATCACCTAACCCTGTGCGATGCCCCAGAGGGTGTGCAGTGGGAGGGCCAGGCCTGGGCCCAGCACGTACTCAGTGTCGCCCACCCTCCTACTCCAGGCACTTTTTCCATCCCAGACTCTCCAGTGACAGGCAGGAAACACTCTTCTGTTTCTGTGTGAATTTGGGCACAGCACTTAAGCCAAGGAAAAGGTGACGTTCCATGCATCTGCCCAGCCAGACATCTGGGTTGCTGGACGTCATACCACAGAAGCCTGGAGACAGGAGCTTCCGGGCTGACCTGATGAAGGGAGTGAATCTGACTGCTCTAGGTGCCTCCAAGTGGAATCACATGGGATCGAGGGAGAGTTGTTCGGGTGTTTGGCACACAGTAGGTGCTCAATGAACCAGGGTAACTTTTCCCAAGGTGTGCTGATTAAGAAAAGGTTTCTTGGTAACAAATAAGCTTGGTGGTGCCAGAGCCACCTTTCCCAGGGTTTTTAAATTAAAAAAAGAACAAATATACATATATATATATGTTTAGATATGGGCTCTCAGGCTGTTGCCCACGCTGGAGTGCAGTGGCGCAATCCTAGCTCACTGCAGCCTCCAACTCCCGGGCTCAAGCGATCCTCCTACCTCCACCTCCCGAGTAGCTGGGACTATCAGGCGTGTACCACCACCCCCTCCCCACAGTGATTTAAAAAAATTTTTTTGCATCACATGCCACATGCAGGGTTTGAAAAGGAAAAAAGTATGTATTTTTTCGTACAGATGAGGTCTCACCACGTGGCCTGGTCTTGAACTCCTGGACTCGAGGGATCCTCCCACCTTGGCCTCCCAAAGTGCTGGGATTATAAGCTCGAGCCACCGCCCTCAGCCTTCGGGAGTCTTAAACGTGCTGTGCTGTGATGTGCCAGCTGCCTGCATCTTCCACAGCAGCTCTGATCAAGACCAACACTCTATGTTGCATCTCAGAGACCTGAACTCCCTGAAACCCACTTTCCGAGAACAGTGAGGCGGGTTTCTGAAGACTTTGCCCCTCAATTCCCAGGAAGGGCTTCCATCATTCCCTTATTAAGCGTTTCAATTTTTCAATCAATGTTACACGTATAACTGTAGTCATAAATATAAGGCCTACTGTATTCCTATCTCCTATCCCAAAGAAAACCAATTTGAACTTTAAGCTTTTTCTTCCTCTTTTACCTCCATATTTCTAAACAACATACTACTGTCGAGTTTCCAGCTTTGGACATCCTTTGTTGATGTCCTGCTAAGAACAAGAACTTGGCTCTCTTACCCTCTGCCACCAATACACAGGCACATTCTTTCCCTCTCCCAGTCTCCTACTGAGATCCAGCGTACATATTTACCAGAGCAATATTCACTAGTATTTGTGTTCACATTATTTGTATGTAAATATTATTCACAGCTGAGTCATGCAGGGTCTGCGGCTCCTCTTCCTGCGTATTTCTGATAGGCATTAATACACTGTTATTATTTGTTTAATTATCTGTATCTATCTCTGATTCTTAGACCTTCTCCAAGCCCTCTGACAGGACCCAGTGCTGACAAGACATGGGGCCACCTCGCAGGCCTAGAGCTGTGCTGAGTTTCCCCAGAGTGCGCCCCGGGTCCCAAGGCTCCATGTCTTTCTCCAGTCACTCCTCCCTCCCCTCCCTGGAGCCTTCCCACACGCAGTTGTGAGAATGGCTGCAGAGGAAGCCAGTTTTTGAGACTCCTGCAGGCCTCTCTTGGGTGTCTGTGGGGCCCTCTCTCCTGGAGACCCTCTTCTTGGGGCTAGAGGGGCTGCTCACAGCTCCCTGAATGTGCTGCTGATGGCTCCCTTGAAGACCACGGCCCCCTCCCACCCATGGTTTCCTGTTTCTCACATCACCCAGCAGGAAGGTTTCTCTTGTCTTCCCACCCTCCCCTCTTCTTGCTGTGGATTTCTGTTGGCATAAAATCCTCTGTGAAGCAATCAGGAGGGAGCTGACGCAGACCCAGTTCCTGCGGACCAGTGGGCAGAGCACAGCCCACTGCTCCCTGCAGGCCTGCCTCACACCCGGGCCACCAAGGCCCTCTCTTGCCCTTTGCCCACATGCTTGTTCACCACCACCGGGCACTTTCATGACAACTATGTGGTCAATATCTCTGTCCTAAAAGTAGTGGGGACAGTTCCCACCCCCGGGCCTCGCCCCTGCCCTGCCAAATGTTTTTTTTTTTTTTCTTTTTTCAGAGGGAGTCTCGCTCTGTCGCCCCAGGCTGGAGTGCAGCGGTGTGATCGCCGCTCACTGCAAGCTCTGCCACCCAGGTTCACGCCACTGGCCTCAGCCTCCCGAGTAGCTGGGACTGCAGGTGCCTGTCACCACACCGGCTAACTTTTTGTATTTTTAGTAGAGACGGGGTTTCACCATGGTCTTGATCTCCTGACCTCGTGATCCGCCCACCTCTGTCTCCCAAAGTGCTGGGATTACAGGCGTGACCCACTGTGCCCATCCTACCAAATGCTTTTTAAACATTTAAAAATGTAGTAAGTTCATCCTATACACTAAAGAGTGCCACAGCACACACCTCCCTCCAAGCCAGCCTTCGGGAGCCTTCGTCATCCACCCTGGAGACCGTTCCTAGGGTGGGGTTCAGGTCTAGGGCATGCTGCCTTCCCTCAAGACTCAGCACCCGCTCCACTCATACCTGGGGCCCTCAGGGCTGGGGCTCATTTTCTCATCTCCCCCAGTGTGTAACCTCCTGGCTGCTGGCACAGGCTTGGCCCTGCAGACCCACCTTTACCCCAAGGCCAGCCCCGCAGCTGCCCAGGGCAGAGGCCCCCAACAAAAAGCAAGGAAGTGGATGTTTAGCCTGGACACTAACCGGACGAGTGCCCCCAAGTACTGCAGACGGACTCTGCACACAAGGCCCCCACCTCTTTCCAGCCCTGGCCAGGGAGATGGGTCAGTTTTCCCAGCAACCCAGGGGGCACTTAGGAGACTGGGTGAAACAAGGAAGCGAAACTTTCATACAATTGGTTTAATTTTTTTTTTCAGCAGGAGAAAAAAGAATAAAGTTACAAGATTCTTTTAATATTTTCACAATGTTAAAACTAAAACTGAGCTCTAGGCTATGTGTGTAAGTAAATCTAGAACACAAAAGGGTTAAATAAGATTTTCTCTTTTAAAGATACAAGAATTTAAGCTTTCCTTACATTTAACAAACTTCACAGAACAGATACTGCAGGGGAACAAGCCCCACCCCCCACCCCCCCAGCTCTAAGTCAGGAAGCGAACATGGGCTTCGCTCCCCGGGGCCGGCTCCCCAGGGCTCCTTCCCACGGCTGCCTCCACGCAGCAGGCAATGGGCAGGGCCTGGGGAGGGCCAGGAAGGGAGCGCACAGCCTCTTCGGGACCAGAGCTTGGCGGAGGCCTAGGCGGGGCTGCCTCACTGAGGATGGCCCATATGGTGGCCAAGGGCTGTGGCTTGACAGCAGTGGTAAACGCTGGGCAGACCTGGCCCCTCTGCCCTGGGCTGCCCTAGAGCAAGACATCGGTCTGGGTCCTGAAGCAAGAATTAAGGCTGGGGATTTTGCAGCGGGTTCCACTCTGGTGGGTGGAGGGTGGGAAGAGCATGACTTCCTATTTCAGTATGTCGGATCAAAAAAATATTTGCAGTTGCAGGTGTTCAGCTGTTAATTTGCAGACAGAGTTGAACCATTTGTTGTTTTATAAAAGGAAAGTTGCTGGGTTAAACTATTCCAGTAGCCTATGTGTGGGCAGATCCACGCTGCCTCTGCAGGGGCCTCCTGCCCTCACCCACCTGGATCAGATGCGGACCTAGAACCACTGGGACCGCTCACCCTGCCTGGGCTTTCAAGAGAATCCTGATCCTGTCCACCCAGCCCCAGCCCCAGCCCCAGCCCCACCTGACTGGTAGTGATTTCCTAACATGGGGCAATGAGGCCCACCCCCACCCTTCCCCACCTGGCCTGAGCAGCTGCAGCTGCTGAACTCCTCTGTGAACATGAGGGGGCACAGGTGGAGAAATGCACCCTCAGGCCCTCACCCACCAGAGCAAATACCACTCTCGGAGCTGGGCCACAGCCACAAACCGCTGTTCTAGACAGATCCAAACACACTGTCCCTGGGACGTATGCTGCCTTCCCTTACTAAACTTGCTATGTGGTAGATGTGGACTGGGTGTCCTTGGACTATGGGGCTGCATAGAAACGAGAATGGAGGCCGCGGCATCATCCTCTTGGCCCCTGGAGGCACGGGCGGCTCCAGCTGGAAGGGGCAGAGCCCGTGGGCGGCAGCTTCCCTAGCTGCTCCCAGCACTTCTACTGATTCTTTGTTGGCTATGAAATGTCTTTTTAAAAAACTCCCAATATAGAAATCTGGCTGCAGAGGCCAGTGTGCAGACCCGGCCACTGCGCTGTGCTGCCATTCGCCACATCTGGTCCGTGCCAGATCCCTGCACTGGCGAATGGCAGACCAGAGCCGGCGGGGACAGGGCACTCTGGCTGCTTCTCGTGACCTTGGATCCTGTGTAGAAAAGGCGGGTCTCGTTCGTGGACTAGTCTTGAGTGGAACTAATTTTCAAAGTGAGGTTACTGTTTCTCTTCTTGTGTGATGAGTTTTTTCATAGCAAGTCAGGTAAAAAAATTTCCGTAAGAATCTGTCCCCCACCCCCCATTTCCAGCTCTGTGGGAGAGTGAGGCCACCACCCAGCCCAGCCATGTGGCCAATCTCAGCAGCCTCCTGTGGCCAAGGCACACGTGGCCATCAGGTATCCTGGCTACTGGGACTAAGGATAAGTGAAGAGGTGAAAGGCCGAACATTAAACAGAGTTTCTGGCAAAGCCATGTGCGTCGTGGGAACTTTAACACCAGCTTCTACTCCTCTATTAACTCAGAGTCTCCGTCTGGAACACTTTCCACTTAAGGCTTTTTATAAGTTTGACTCCAGCAGTGACAGGTATGTGTTGTTTTAAATCCACTAGCCATGCTCAAAAAAAAATATTCTTCATGTTTTAATTTTATACAATGGCTAGCAGGCACCTTAGTAACCAGCCAGAAATCAATTTCAACCACCATCAACCCCTAAACTACAGTACCAGGATGGCTGGCTAAAGAAAGGAAACGGACTGGCTGCAGTCTGACGCGTGCCCAGTACAAGGTGTCTGGCTGACTTTGTCCTAAATAAGGCTAACATTAGTGAACTAAGAACAGCGTCATGTGGTGGCCATGCCTGGCCTTCAGGAGCACCCCTCCCCGATGCGCTGGCAGGAGCGCCCCACTTTCCGGTCCAGCTTCACCATTTTCATGATGGCTTCCTCCCGGCCGCGGCCCATGTGGTCGAATGTGCAGTCGTGCTGCTCGGGAAGGCGATGTAACATACAGAACACATAACCTGCAGCAGCGGGAGAAGCAGAGGAAAGAGAGTATTAGGGTGGCCTCCAAGTGCACAGAGCCTCACTACTGCCTTTGTCCAGAGGATGGAAGGGCATCCCAGTGGGTGGACAACAGTCACTGTAGGGGTTCC